GAGCCTTCCAACCTTCTAAATATTCCTTTATATGTGGTTCAGAGTTCTGGGACCATCCCCTGAGCTTGCTTGGTCGGGTATTCTGTGTTGTTGTTGGCGGAGCTCTGTACTACACGTCCACCCGATCCACCATCTTGTTTGTTCTCCTCCCTCCACCTTCTCTTAATTTTGAGTTGTGCCCCATCAGCAGATGAAGGTCCCACAGGCTTTACTCCATTCATGTCATCATAGTCAACTCTAATACACGACAGTGTCTATTTACAGTAGGCACTGGGAAAGTAACATACAAAGATGCAAGGGTCAAATAGTCTACCTTATGACAAGGTTGCTGAACACATGGGCTAAGAAGAGGTCCTACTGCTGGCACTCCAGATCCTAACCAGGGGGCTGCACCTAATTCTTAGTAAGAAAAAGTCTGCCCTGTTCTCACAGATTTACACCTGGGCAGACACGAGACCTATGCAGAGGGCCAGGACCTCCTGTGTGTCACTTTGCAGGGCTCACTGTTGGGTTTGTAAGCTGCCTGAGATCTTCTAGGAAGGAGAGTGATCGTACCCCAGATCCCCTCTCACAGTCACCTCCTCTGTTTCTCCACAGAGTTGGTAACAAAACCCACCATCCAAGCCAGCAACATCACAGTCACAGAACATGAAGGCCCCGTAGTCCTGAAATGCTTGGCCAAACGCAATGACATCTCCATCCGGTGGGTCTTCAAAGGGCAGAGCCTGAGGCTCACAAAGAGGATAACTCTGTCCCAGGATAACAGCTCCCTCACTATAGACTGCATCGAGAGGGAAGATGCTGGGAATTATCAGTGTGAGGTCTTCAATCCTGTCAGTTTCAGCAAAAGTGACCCCCTCACCCTGTCTGTAAAATGTGAGCATATCTTCATCCCTTCCTATTGGAAAATCTCAATGTTTTTATTTACAGCATGGTGGTTGTAATGAACATTATAGAGTAGTTGTGAATAGCCAGTGGAAAGAGGACTGGGAAAACCTTCCACAATTGCACTCTGACACTAAATGTCATTGTCATTATTGTTGGCACAAAGTCATGTTCACCTCCTGTCCCAACACTCTGGGTCTCAGCTGCACCCTCTCCACAGTAGAAGGGACACGACTCCCTCCCACAAACAGGCAGTGCCCATGGGCAATGACAAGGGGCTCTGAGCACTGCTCAGCACAAGGTCAGCTCTCAAAAGCCATGGCCCCATTACTCCTCCATCCAGAGATTTATCAAGGTGCTTGGACTTGACAATGGTAAAGGGAATAGATAAGGGGACATTCAAGTGATGGTAATACACAGACAAAATGTATTTTATACAATGCAATCTTCCCACAAAGTCCCAGTCTAGAGGTTGGAAGAGGGGTTGAAGAGCCAAGGAACTAGTGCCAAGGTGCAACCACTGAGTGAAAGGGATAGTCTTGGGGGAAGCTCCCATCCCACCCACATTCCACCCTACTTAAGCCCTGCTGGGTGGTTCTTTCCCAAAGTATAGACTGTGATTCAGGGATCAGGACCTTGAGGTCTCTGCAGGTCTTTTCCTTTACTGATACACAACACAAATGGACCTTAGCACCAGAGGGTTTCTCCCCATGAGGAGTCAACATTGCCTGGGAAAGATGTACCCAGGACCACAGCTCAAGATGAATCACAATGGATGAATCCCAAAGTCCCAGATGATTAATCTCAGCCTTCTTTCCACTGTGTACACTGCAGATGACAAGTCTGAAGTCACCTGGGCCATCTCTAATGGGACCACTGCTGCCATCGTGACTGTAGTCTTTCTCGCGGTGTTTCTGATGGCCACCTTGGGGTATTTTCTCCTCTTCACCAAGTCTAGAAGGTACAATGGCTCATCCCACACCTTATCTCCTGCCCTCAGGCTGACCCCAGACCAGGAAGAAGGCCCATCTTCAAATCCTGGACCTGACTCTCCATACTCTTCTCCCCCAACTCTCCCAAGGATACTTGCCATTCATTTCATCTCATCACTTTTATCTCCCTCACTGTGTGCTGACCTCAGACTGCATTCCTCAGTGCAGTCCTAGCTCACAGCAATATCTGGGAGGCAATTGGTGCTCAGTTGGTCAATAGGAACTCCTTTCTTGTCTTCTGGATCACTTCTGGGTCAGTGTTCTCCTATGCTGGCATGTACCTGAAGATCCTTCTCCCATAGGCCTCTATTCAATTATTCCCTCTACAACTCCCTCTCCTACTACCCCTGAGTTGCTGGAGAAAGGAAGTCTCTACATACTGCTGGAAGTGGGTCCCCTCCTTGTGATCTGTTTCGACCCCAAACCCTGTGACTTTTCCCAGGAGCTTCACAAATACCTTTACCTTTCCTTGGGCCAGCAGCCAGAGAGACCCTGGAAATCAGCGGACCCCAGCATCTACCCCTGGTAAGTGCACATTCAACCTCAAGAGTTCCCCAAGGCCTCTCCTCAGTCTCCAAACCTGCCCACCACCTGCTATGGCTTCAGGGAGACCACATAACCCTGAGGCCAGAGGGCTTCAGAGTGCTCGGGTCAGCCTTGATCTGTGGGGCCTGAGACCAGAGACACTCCATTGATCACTTTAGCCTCCAAAATGTCCAAGGGCCTCTCTCAGGAAACTCTGGGGAATGAGGACCTACAATTTCTTCCTTCTTTAAGGGCTTCCAAGCTCCTTTATACCACTGCATGCTAACCCTATCTCTGTTCCTCAGGTCATGGTCAGTCTGACAGCTCTGCCTCCCAGGTAAGATCATCCCCTCTCCACCCCTTCACTAGTGGGTCCCAACTGCACATGCTCCAGGCATGGGAACTGGCCAACCCTTAACACAGCAAAGACCCACAACTCCTTCTAGAAAAGCCAGGACAGAGTTAGCCCCACTCTGACCAAGAGCTGTGCCTCCCTTCAGGGATACAAACTACCTCACACTTTGTCCTGAACTCACACTGTGTCCAGTCAATTGCCTTAAGAATGGACATGGAATCCATCAAGGAACACAGAGCAGCTCCAGCAGCAATCAGGGGTCCAGGGATAACAAAGGTGAGCAGCGGGGATGCAGTAGAAGGCACAGGTTAGGAGACTTATACTCAAGAAACAGAGATGATCACTTTTGATGAAAAGTGACCGAAAGATTAGGAGTGTAAGCTCTAGACTGTCAGGAACAAGAATCTTCCAGACTAGGGCCATGGCAGCTGCTCACTTGGGCTTCTGCCCTAATGATCCACTTCATTAGGGCAGAGGTGAAGTTCCCTCTCTCTCCTTTGCCAGGAGCCCCTGTATAGCAACCAGTCATCTGTTCCCATCTATGAGGTGAGTATGAGCCATGAATGTTCTGGGTTCAGGTATCCAAGGGAGGCTCAGAACCTACCCCACTCAGCACCAGATTCTGCTTTGAATTAAAAAAAAAAAAAAGCAAAGATGGGGGCAGGGGTGGTGAGCATAGAGGAGGCCTGGGAGCAGAAACCTCCCTGAGTAAAGCTAGGCCCATCACAGAGAAAACCTGAGTGGGACACACAGTGCCAAGAAGAAGTTGGACCAT